AAATGGTATTTAGTTTGGAAATGATCCAAGGAGTGTTTTATCAAGGAGAATTAAACTGATGCATGATTCGGTCTCAACTTCCTTACTGTTTACACAGTATGTCTCAAAAAAGTGTCCGTCTCACTGTTTTTAGAATAACTACAACACCATGAGATCAATTTTAAACTGTTTGGTTGTGCAGATACTCCTAAGCCTTGGCCTCAACCCCTATGAGTTTCATTTAATTTCAGTCACGCATCACTGCACATTGGTCAATTGATCACAACATTTTGGGCACTGTGATCAATTTCAGTGCTGTGTTATTTAAGCTGTGTAAAATCCTGCATGTTGTGAAAAAAAGGCTGATGTGGTTTGGGATTGGAATCATTTGCCCTTGAGCATTAAACTGAGGTCTTGCCATGATGACTGATAGCCAGGCAAATGATTCCAATCCTAACTGCAGCCCTTTTCACAACGTAAAGGATGTCTTACAACTTACTTAACACAGTACAGAAATTAAATAAGGCAAGGAACTTGGTCACAGTGTCCACAAATGTTGTTGTGATCAATTAATAATTGTCTGATTGAATGATATTCAAGATTTGACTTCAAGATTTGATGAAGTCCATTGCAAAGATGCGGTCGAATATAACCTGTCGTTAAGTTTGCAAGAGAAATGCTCATATTACTTTGTTTATATTTTGTTAGATCACCAAGTTCGCACACATGTTCGGGAGATCAAATGTATTCTTTTTTAATGTAAACGGTGATCTTCTGCGTGACCTGTATTGCTATTTTTCCTAATATCGTCCCCATGTGTGCTGTTGGCATGACAGATGGTTGCAGGCCAGTAAATAGGCCAAAATTGCCTACGCCGGCCAAATCAATTTGCATGCCCTCAAATCCTCTGCTACTGTAGAGCATTTTGTGGGCCATGAACTTAAGGGGTTGTGAAAAAAAAGAGTTTGGAAGCCGTGCACAGGACTGTGAGCTTGCATTTCTGTCAAATTTGGATGAAATTGAGCCCTCAAAGTGCTGTTTTGCACTGGAGCGGAGGCATCACCTTTTTATCAAAATGGCGATGGGCTTCAGGACTATTTTTTGGGACGATCATCTATGGACGGAAATTTCTCCCAAAAGTCATCAAATCACCAAAGAAAATTAAACAGAAAATGAAAGACGATAAAATCAGCTTTAATTTGGTGTGTTTTTCGAACACCTTGAAGAGTTGTGAGTATTTTGCCCTGAATTTCGGAAGTGGGGGCATTTATTATTGGGGTCAATGACAGTTTATTTACTAGTCTGCAACCTTATGCCAGGTAATTGCCTCATGCAGAAGGCACAGCCGTACGTGGCGCCCTCAAGTGGGCGTTGTGGGACAGTTGCCGCCATGTTGACACATATCTGTTCTGAACTCTACGAGTATAAATCAGGTTCAATACTGAATGTCAAACAAATAGATGAGGCATGAATCGAACATAGTTTGCCTTATAAGCCTAAAAAATAAAGCAAATATATGAAGTAAATTAGGAAAAAAAAAAGTAAGTCGACATTTCGTTATGAAGAGGCGTTGGATTGGAGGATGGGTTTTACTTCAATATTATTGTTCTCTTTAAAACTGGTGTCGTTTTGTTAGTAACACTATTAAGACGAAACGAAAGGGGTTTAATATCAAAACACTTTATTATGATTTTTTGGGGGCACAGGCCTATAACTCAGACGAGTTTGGGTGGATAATGTTCCCTTGATCGGCATCATGACGAATGATCGGTGCTATATTTTCTACGCTACTGGACTTCGATCGGCGACAATGCAGGCAGACATTCATTAAAGCGGATCAAGTGTGTAGTCAGTCGTACCAGCCGAATCAAACTAGAGATGCGTATAAATTATGCACGGAGCCTTTGGGTAACAAGTCTGGGTCATCCAGAGTTACTCTCCATCTAATTAAAAACGTAGTAGTTTCGTTTTCATTCTCGTGATTGTAGTAACATACCTGTACGTCATAAAAGAAGCTGTTTAACATTTCTGAACTAGAAATGACATGTCTTTTCCACCGCGGTTTATATATTTAAGCAAATTGGTAGAGGAAATGGGATAATTGGAAAAAAGTCTACCTTTTAGATTCAACTAAAGTTGGATTTCGATGCCCGTTGCGGAGCGTCGATGGGCAATGCCCAAGTCCTTGTGACGTGCCGGGCTTAATTAGTTGGAACAAACACACCGCGTCCGGGGTCTAAGATGCCGCCGCGGGTTCGATGGGACACTCGAGTAGCAGTTTGGAATATTAAAGCCTTTAGACTTTAAAGGGGCATCCCTAAATACTGGGCAACTTTTTATTTAGTAGTATCTCAACTTTATTGAGGGAATAAGTGTGCTCTTGGCCGGTTTTAAACACTCTGTTGAAGACCGGTTGGAGTCTGGATGCTGATAGTTACCCGAGCCGAATGCCCAGTCTGGTCAGATTGACCTGGAATGTGCCTGGTGCTTTGTAGGTCAAAATGACAACTCTGTGGATCAATATATGTGTCATTTCATTCGGACATCTTGGCAAAAGTGTCATTTTGATCCAGAAAGCGTCATTTTTTGTTATTCTAAAAAGTATCTGAGTGTAATGTACAAACAATTGGCATTGGTTAAGTTCAAACGGATGTGCGATCTGGTAAAACATAAATAAATACGTACCAGGTCCACTCACAGCCGATATCGCTTGAAATTACAGGGTCTCGTGTGGCCACTGACCGCTTTAAACAACTGGCCATCAAACAGATTAAGCATTTCCATCCAAACGATCGCTTCGACGCCGCTTGTTCACCTGATCGCGTCGAAGGCCTTTAAAGGCGAGCGCGTTAATGAAGGAGTTATACCAAACATTCCCGTAGGGTATTCCTGTACAGGTCCTCGTCGCGTCGTCGCGAGTATTTCAATTATTCGGCAGCGTGCTGGATACAGTGTTGCCGTTGCACACTCGTGTACAGCCCGAGGCAAAGGCGTCCTATAGCACTCCCCAAAACGCTCCGGGAATGGTAAACCAGCCTGAGCTAGAATATATTTCATCGTGTGTGTGTTTCATTTTGTTTGGGGGGTTTTATAGGTTTTTGCGTGTATGTTTTTTTTTATTTGCTGCATCGTTTTTGGTTCATACAAGCGTGGCGTCATGACTGTTCGAGTGCACCAAGCGCGGAGATTAACGATCAACGAACGCTTGTTTGTCAATATTTGCAGTATAAGAGACCATTTTTGGAACGTTATATTTACCCTAAATATACCGTAATAATGTTCCCCCCCCCCCCCCCCAATGTCGCAATGCTGCCGAGAGGGGGGTTGCACGAGCAACTATCGGACCCAATTTCCCCGTTTGGTGTTAACTTTTGTTGCTGCCGCTAGCTGGGTGGAGTCATATATACTAATGTTTACTTTGACCTCAATTTGCATGTTGACCCCAAGTGGGCGTGGTAAGCCTTGGTGTAGCAATTTTGCCACTTTTTCATCATCAACGTTACGTTTTGCGTAATTAGCGATACGTTTTGGAGTGTTTTCATAGAGATAATGTTGTAATATTTAAATATTGAAAGTCTGAAAGAAACAAATTTGCCAAGAAAGCAAAACGAAACAAATACATCATTTTTTTTCACATGCCAACCGTAACTTTTCAAGGATCTGCATGAGCCTCTCAATTAACCATTGCATTTTGTGCTTGCGCACACTTTTAGGCCTTTTACAAAAAACGTGACACACAGACATCAGACAGACAGACAGACAGGCAGCGTATAGATCTTGCTGGGATTTTCACTATTATTGTGCTCAATGGGACCTTTTTCAATTAGTACTTTTAAGTAAAACTTTATCCGTAAAACGCCATATCTTCTGAAAGTGTACGCTCACGCGAATGCTCCTGGTTATTTTCTTCTTGCTGTTTTTTTCTTCGTGCACCAAGTTTGAGTCTTTTACCGAGGGTACAAATCAATCAATATGACCATAAAGTCTCATTGTTAATTGTCTGGACTACACCGTCCACATCGTGACTATGATTTCCTTTGGGGGAAACCTCGGAGAAAACCTCAGGGGAAACGTCTTTTCCGGAGGGGCGAAATTATGCCGCGTGGAGTTTTTGTCTCCGACCATAGCCAGGGAGGAAAGCTAATCGAAACATCGGGTGATTGAATCGCAATTTCTTCTCGTGTTGCCATACTTCTATCATTCACGGGTATCACATGAAGAGGCTCCATTCACAAATATCAAAGGTGCCTGTGTAATTAAAACAAATCCAATACTCTCTCCGATTATTGACTTTGAAATGACCACTGGAATTCAAGATTGGAGATATCTCATCGTCGGTTGTGAAAAACGGTGAGTGACCTTCGGGCGTTTGCGGCGGGTGGGGGAGGTCTAGAGTCGTCTAAACTCGGAAAATCTCTGCATTTGTGCGGGGTCCACCGTTTTCTTTGACGGCGCTCGGTTTTAAACCCGCCAATTGATTCTGGTCCTTTATTAAATTTGGCATTGACGCGCAGCCGACAACCAAAATCGATTCCCCATGGGTGTTCGGAATCGGCAGCGTGAAAAATATCCCACCACGCTTGCGCACAACCTTGGCTCATGCGCTAAAATCCACGCGGAATTCGCGCGACGGCTGAAGTCGCGACTAGCGGGTAGGCGTTTTTTCTCTCTCTCTCTCTATTTTTTTTTAAACACGTGCTTTTCGTGTGCGTCAGAACTGACGATAACCCCGCTCCTACGAATTGTGTCAAGACTGTCCGGAGACAAACTTCCGTAGACGAAACAACATGTCAGTTCGCATATAAGAAACGGAGCATCGCCCTCGGAGGTTCCGGAGCTGTGTTTAATTTTAAAACTCGTCGATTTTCGCCTGGCTGAACTCCTCAGGATCACTTCGCCGGGATTTATTTTGGGAGGGATTGCTTTAAACTGAGTTGCCTGGCCAGCCTGTTCCAACACTCTCTCAAGCCTCCGGGTTTAATTCTTTCCACTGTCTGGTTCTTCATTTTGTCTGAATCTAGACGGAGCCGGGGTACACCGTGTGATCCAGCTTCCGTGCCGGCGCCCCCTGAGGACAGCTACCGGTACAGCCGGACCTAAAACCCTCAACTCGACTCGCTCTCTTGCCTTCACTCCTCCCGCGCCGTGCCGCCGAAAATATTCCACCTTTGCTCCCAAGGAAGCGCTTCCTTCCCCCCGGTAAGTGTTTTCTTGTTTTACTGTCTTTGGCGTTCTCTTTAAATCATCTTCGTGGATTGGACCGATGAGGGTACTTGATATTTCCCAAGGCGTTTGGGTCGTTTCTCGGCCGACCGTACCTCAACCACCGGCCCCGTCAGTAAGCACTGACTACTTTTTTTCACGCTTGTTTATTCATTGAGCACGGAGGAAAGAAACCCTCTAGTGCAGTTTTGTTTTCAAACTTTGAGCAATGGGCCGTTTTTAACTAAATTAGCGGTCAGCTAAATCAATTTTACCAGTGGGATTTTTATTAGGTTTTCGCTCATGTCATGCGCACGTTCCCCGATGATTTTTAGTCTTGATGTTGTCTCCAAACTATAGCCCACAATTAAAATACCGAGTTGAAATAAAAGCGTCGTAACACGACATTTGATTTTTAATTTATATGTTTGGACAAAACGGACAAGCCGGTATGTGTGGTGAGTAATGATATGGAGAAACACTCTTCTATAGGGCTACAGGAAAAAAAATATTGTCAGATGTAACTGGTAAACGTCGAACTAGCAAAACGTAGCTCAGGTCAGCTAAAGATAGATGCCAATGAAAACAAATCCAAACAAGCGATTTTTTGTCAGGATTTTTAACTGGAAACCCTATAAGCATCCCTATATTAATCCCTATATGAACCCTATATGAATCTTTGGGTTTTGTGTTTTTTATACATCTTTTAACGCTCAATTCACTATAATTTGGAGCGGAGTTGTCCAATGGTCACGGTGTTCCACTCACGTGCGGTGGTACTTGGGTTCGAACCCTTACGGGGAACATGGTGCTTGTGTTCCTGGGCAAGACACTTTTACTACATTGCCTCTCTCCACCCAGGAGTATAAATGGGTACCTGTGAAGGTAGAGACCAGGATGTGCTGATCTTGAGCTGCTGTAAAAACTGGTCTCATGACATGATGAACAGGGGTAATTATTGTGAATTGCTTTGAGACCTTTGGTATAAAGCGCTATAAAAGCACCAAATTATTATTATTATAAGCAAAAGTTATGTTAAGATTTCGAAACGTGCTCCTCGAACATTTTGCACCCTGTAAATTATTTTTCCACGACAAAAAAACCTGAACAAAGTCGCCAATTGGTATTCGTGGAATAGAGATACGCCTCAGTAAAAATCTGTTTTCAACTATCGATAAACTTCTTCTTCTTTTTTTCAGAAAAAAAAAATTAATTTTTTTTTTTTTTAAATATGGAAAATACCCGGCAAGTTCACTTAATCTTCGAGTTGTTCAGAAAATTTGAGACGCGGGGTTGTTCTCTGTTGGTCGGTGTGTATTGTGCGTATGTGCCTTTGATGCACTTTTTAAATATGCTAAATTGACCATGAAGGTAAGAGTCTTTTATTTAGGTTCAAAAGGCGAAGACGTAATTGCAAAACGATGAACGCTCCGCGAATTGTTGTTCGAATCGTATCCAGGTCCATATCCGTGTTCAGTGAAAAATGTTTTTGTATCAACTGATTTTTTTATGACGTTCTTGGAATCTACCAAATTCAATTTGGTGCATTGCTGATTTCTCCCGGGGCCATCTTTACAAAAGACGACGAGACGATATATTGCTTTCTCGGGAGGCTTGCCTTTGTCAGTCATGTTATTGCTTGTCGTGAAATGAGGTTATCCATCTTTAGAAAAAAAATAACAAAACTATAAAATCCGGTGCTACAGGGTGAGTAAAAAAAAAACGGAACCCAAACCCCCAAAACATATATTTCATATTTAAAAAATGTGTAGCACTAAACATAATAATGAGACTGGAAAGCCAATTTCATAAGCTACTTTTATATGAAAAAAATACAGAAATTGCTCAATACATTCAAAGAATTTCACCATTTGAACGCAATGACCCTAAAACCTGTTTCGGGTTTGGGTTCCGCTTTTTTTTTTTGACTCGCCCTGTATTTCTTACTTATTGAATTCTCAGACAGTGTAATGATTCGGAGTTGTTGACTCAAGTGGAGATAGACACGCTTGTTTCGAGAGCAATCGAACTTGGACTTGTCGATATATAGTTTAGTGCTCCGACTAAGTCTCGTAAAAGGATCGACGCGAGCAACCACTAAACGGAGCAAAAACACGTTCCTGCAGTTCGTGCACGTCGACCTAGATTTGGGAGTATTGCAGACGATCTTACTTTGCCTTAATTTGCCAACTTCGTGTGTTGTACTGAACTTTTTGGTAAGGTAGAACTTTTTAGCGAGGTATAATGAGGTGTAATACTTCAAGTAATGTGTCACTTTGTCACCCCACCCCACCCCTTGAACCGCAAAAACAATAGAAAAAAATCATGACGAAAACTAGAAAGCACTCAGAGAGCGCAAACCTCCGCCGAGGCTAAATTCCCCGCCATATTGTCAGTACACCCAAAAGAAATACTCGCATAATTGGTCAAGAATTCTTTAACAAAAATCCTGGATCCAGACCCAGATCCGGATCACTTCCAAAATCTAATCGATTTGTCCTTACCAAGGACCACCCCTACAAAAAAATGTTCATGCAAATCCGTCCGTAACTGTTTGAGTTATCTCGTTATCAGATAAAACCAACCAACCAACCAACCAAACAACAAAATCCGATGAAAACATAACCTCCTTGGCGGGGATGAAAACAGCACATACCTACAACCCCCCCCCCACACACACACACACACACACACACACACACACACACACACACACACACACCCTCTTGGTCCACCTGGATCCGCCCCTGCTGCTCGTACGATATTTCCGAGACTCCATAATTTTTTCTCAAAAAATTGGAGAAATACCCTCAAAATACTGTCTTCGTGAATCAGTCACTGACACCAGAATTCCTCAACCCTGCCACCACAAAAAGGACAATCGCACAAGATGCCTCAAAAACCGAAGTTTTGAATCCAACATTTCGGTCAGTGACCACACTTTGAAAGTGTTGAATCCAGCAGTTTAAATATTTAATCCAACACTGAAACTGTTAATTCAACATGTTAATGTTGATTCAACACTTTCAAAGTTAACACTTTGAAAGATGATGAGTTAACACTTTAAGTGTTGAATTAACAGTATCAGTGTTGGATTTAACTTATATAGTGCTGGATTCAACGCTTTCAAAGTGTTGACATTGACCGAACCCATGCAAGTGTTGGACTGATTCAACATTTTCAAATTAACACTTTGAAAGATGTTGAATTAACACTTAAAGTGTTGAATTAACAGTATCAGTTTTGGATTTAACTTATATAGTGCTGGATTCAACACTTTCAAAGTGTTGACACTGACCGAACCCGTGGAAGTGTTGGACTGATTCAACACTTTCAAATTAACACTTTGAAAGATGTTGAATTAACACTTAAAGTGTTGAATTAACAGTATCAGTTTTGGATTTAACTTCTTTGGTGCTGGATTTAACACTTTCAAAGCGTTGACACTGACCGAACCCATGCAAGTGTTGGACTGATTCACACTTTAAAATTAACACTTTGAAAGATGTTGAATTAACACTTAAAGTGTTGAATTAACAGTATCAGTTTTGGATTTAACTTCTTTGGTGCTGGATTCAACACTTTCAAAGTGTTGACACTGACCGAACCCATGTGAGTGTTAGATTCAACAATTTCAGTTTTTAGAGTACCGTACCTCCAGCGGCAGCTATGCACGACGAACCTTGTTTTCTTCTACAGCACGGGGATGGTTTTCGCGAAGGATTTATTGGAATTTGTTTAAAGCGAAACTGGGCCGGGAAATTGACAGATTTCGGCCGATTTTTATCAACAATTACCATCCTGCCCATACTCAGTTTTGCGTATAGACGAAATGCTGTATGATACGCGATCGGCGTTTTCTTTAATATGCAATTGCATATCAGTCACTCGTAGACAAGCAGGCCTCAGGGGACAGTTTGTTTGCAGACGGGTTTTTTGTTTTATTTCCCTAACCACTCTGAAGAGGCCTCACTCGAGCCGATTTTGCTCGTCGATTTCCCGTCCGATTTCCGCACCCGAGGTGAACCATTCCGCGACGCCATCACATAAAGTGCTATACAGCTAGGCTGCCGCGCACCGCCTGATTACGAAGGCCTTGTCTATGAAAGTGCATCCGCAGCACTAAAACTACCGAATGTCTCTAATGAACTGAAATCGAACATGGCCTGGATACGAAGAAAGGGAGATATGTGCCGTGGGTCACGTGACTGCCAGTGACCAATCGCAGCCCGGAGAAACGAAGACAGACATCCTGCCGACGATTGTGATTTCCCCGTGGCACGCTTTTTGTTTTCAATAAGCGTGGCATTTTCAACATTGTCAACAACCATTAGAGAATCGCTGTGCTTATATTTCATATGAATCTCCTTTTTGGTGCGCTGCACTTTTTGCAAGTGTGTAGTTCACGTTTATAGATTTGCCCTCCGCCGTTTTGCCCGAGTTGAATTGGCTTTCGAGTCACATAATCTTCTCCAAGTCTTTTAAAAGTCGAGGCCTCGTACTTTGCCGCAACAAACAACCCTGCAGATTGTATGTGCCCTTAGATACGGATTGGATACACACTCTTCGCGCGAAATAAGTGGCCCCTGGTGTTTGGCGCGCGCGGGAAATTTCCGCGCAGAAAAAAAAGAAGACAAGTTCAGTGTGTACGTGTGTGAGAGAGAGCTCTTTTGGTGCAAGTAGCGCGAGAAGATGTCAACACAATCATGGAAAAGTGTGTCCTGTTTGATTGAACCATTTTTTTTTTTATTAAAGGGACACTGTGTCCTGGAACAGCCCAATTGGGCTGTAAAACATGCTTTGAACGAAATGATGTTAATCGGAAAGAACATTTAAAAGTAGGATATAAACATACAGACAACTATCCTTTAAAAACTGGGCGTTTTGTGTTATTCCTGTATTATGTGTGCGAGAACGACTTTCGGGGTCCACTTTTGCGTCAATTCTACCAATGTCGTAACCTTAGTGCAGAATTTTATTATGCCCATGCAAAAGACCAAAAAAAAAGCCATTTTATTTTAAGATTAGCATAATTCTGTTGCATAAACTCCAACGACGTTAGAGGCTTCGTTAACTCTACCAAAGTCCCAACTGGGTTGTATGCTTGAGTAGCCATCCATGCAGCACCAGATGTGCGCTTCCTGATAGGCCTACAAGTCTTGTCGAGGTAGCAACAAGTTCAACTGCAGGTTGTGTGATTTTCTTTGTAGAAAACACAGGGTAATGGGTGCAGGGTAAGGGGAGGGGTAATGTGCAGTTCAATTATGATTAAGTCATTGTAAACACAAGAAAATATGCCAGCCCGACCTCTCTGCGTTTGTAACTCAACAAACGCGATCTCTAGTTGAAATTGGACAAGTAAACAATCCAAAACATGAAATTTTCTGGGATTTCAGGACCTAGTGCCCCATTAACTTCCCGATTTGAATTTGGTTTTTCGTCCATCACTCTCGGCCGCTCTAAGTGGCAAATTTGTCGCATGTTTGTCAGGGCCGAGTGTATAGATTTTCTGTCGAAGGGGATCGTGTGGTTGACATTATGAGTGTTGTAGCCTATGTCACGGGTCGTTCATCGGGGGGGGGGGGACACCTTATCAATGATTCGGTGTCAGTCACTGTAACATATCGGAGTCACTGCAGAGATTTCAATCTTGAAGATGGATAAATGTGATAAATGTTTTACACATAATACTTCATATTTTTTCCTCAGATCTTTCCTTCGATCTCATTGCTCTTGCAAATTAACTGTGTCTTCTTATTCAGATTGATATAAATAAGTTCTTATTACAATTGTTATACATCTTTATACATATATATATTTCTCTTTCTCAAATCTGTTATACCATGTTCAGCTTGTCTAAATACCACCTGTCGACCCAAAGCATTGCTGGTTATCCGTGTTTTTTTCTCCGGCTGTTGACCCTGCAAATCCAAGCATTGCACACGATGTTTACCATCGACTGGTGTGAATTTTAATCATCTTGTCATGATTTGGGAATGACAGTAATTTTTGATATGACAGCAGCGTGGCATTGACACAACAGCCGCATATCAAGGGATCGTGGTTCGTGTAGGAAAATTAATTACAGCGAGATAGTGGTATAAGATTAGACAAATAGAATGACGTGTTGTTTGTTTATATTCGACACGAGTCTGTGGTCGTGTTTGGTCACTTTTCTCGGTGATTTATTGGTCAACTTTTCAGGGCTTCTTTTCTGTCGGTCCACAAAACATTCTATCGGACAGGATTGATTTATTTGTGTACAAGTTTTAGTTGCGTGGCGAAAACAGCCGAGATAATTTTTTTTTAATCTAAGTTTGCAACATGTATCTTCGGTTAGTTTTGCAAAACACGATATTATTATTAGTTTTTAGTAATTTATTTCCGGTAATGAAACCAAGGATTCCTCAAAAGCGCCCTGAGAACTGTGTATAGCTCGCAAGCCTGAAGAAATCCTTAGAGAGAAGGAAATGAGAAGAAACTACAGTTTAAAGAATGAAGAATATTCTTTAGGGGGGAACCCGACAAATCTGGCCGGGACTGAAAACCCAATCCAAACATTGGCCCAGGCGGGATTCGAACCCGGGTCACAGCGGTGGAAGGCGAGGAAAGAACCGATACACCAACCCAGCTCCCGATGTAATGGTGGTCTGCCGTCTTTCGACATGAGAAGAAAGTACGTCATTTGTGCCGATGTAATTAATTCGAAAACCAGGTGATTCCGCTCGGCACGTTTACGTCAACTCGTATTTTAAAACGCATTTCAAACGCATTTGTTGACAACTGTGCGTGCACATGAATGTGATCACCGCAGTACGTATGCTTTGAACTATTCCATTTCATTTTATTCATTCTACCACCTGCCAAAGCATCCTCGTTCTATTTTCAAAGGAAAGACGTCATCGAATCGCAAACAGAAGCCTTTTTCGTACCACTTTCAATATTTGTTTCCTTCGTTGTAAAACAAATTTCTGAAGAGTGGAGACGCTTGGGAAGTGTAGTACAGCTGCGCAAATCAGGAATACGAGGACATTTCGCTGCTCGATAAAACCATTACTTCGTAAAAACCTCAAGACCAATCACTTACGGGACAATTTTATTTTTTCACAGTGAAATCAAACACTGAAATGAGCAGCAACTGCTAGGATCGGCAGCTACGCACGACACGACCTTCTGGTCAGAGGCCGTTGAACGTTTGCGATAGATGCGTGATCCTCAAATCTCAAAATCAATCAAATTATTGTCTGATGTGCCAGCAAATTTGAGTGCTCTGATGTGCTTTTGTTAGGAGCCATCCCATTAAGTATCCGGAATACACTGTAAACACACCGAGTTGGATTTGACTAGTTCTAGTCAAATTTAACTAGAGGTTTTTTTTAGAGTGTAACTTGCGGAGAAGTTTATCCGCAAAAGGCTCAGTGTATCGGGTAGGTCTACCGTTGCAGGATTCTGAGCAACTTCCCACGGAGTCGTCTGGCAGTCAGGTTTTCCGACATTGATTAATTTCGGAAGGATCGCGGGAAAGTTGTTGAAATCTGCAACTTAAACCCAATACAATTGGCCAATTACCGATAGACCTATTACCGCAACCTATCCTGACTATTTACTAATAAAAGTGACTCCTGCAAAAATAATTTAAAAATCCATGTTAAATTTTACTTGAAAACAGTCACACTTGCACCCATCTGACTACATCTAGTGTGTTCTTTCAGCAAAACGAAAACAATTCACATAGTGATGTATGTTAATTGTTTTCCTTTCTCTGAAATAACACAAAACTTTTGTTGTGATCCGTAGAAAGAACTTTAAAAACGGCGTTTATGTTCGAAATTCCGAAACTTGAAAAGTACATACGTGATTTGAATGATTCTTGTACTGAAAGAAAGTTTGTTAAATGTTAATTGGGTTTTCATACCCTAGATTTTGAAAGTGCTACATGCAGAACTTCATTCAAAAATGGTCCTGACATTTGGGTTTCCTTGTTTTTTACTCACCCTGTAGAGTGTTTACAGAGTATACCTGCCTGCAAACCTGAACCCAACATCCCCTGTGTATTCCGGCAGACCCATCAGCCGCCATGTCGTGGTTGACCACGCCGGAGACGGGCACGACGGCCAACCAGTCGCTTGCGACCATGGACGAGGATAGCTCGTCGAGCGAGAGTTGGTACGACTTCGAGTGCGACTACGAGTGGCCAACGCAAGCCGTTACGGTCGTACTGTGTATCGTGTACAGCTTGCTGGGCTTAACAGGTGGGTGGTGTATACCGAAATCTGCGGTGTTAAATTTGCACCGCGTAGTGTCTATTTCAAAACGCGTTTTTCAAGGGGTGTAGTGAACAAGTTCATCTGTTACACGGTACCCTGTGGAGACATGTGCATAATAGGGAACAAATTATTGAATACGTCTCCACAGAGCAATTTCTATAGGTGAATACGTCTCCACAAGGTTATCACGAAATGGATATATGGATTTTACTCAAAAACTAGGAATTTTCAAGGTGTGTTGTTTCGTCGCAAATTGAAGTGTTTTATGTAAGAAATAATAAGTCCGAATTTCAGCACAAGAAATTAATTCTGGTTAAATTAGGAGCATTTTTAAACTTCACTTTCAAACTCTAAAATTGTAGTACACGAGAACAAAGAAATGACTCCACAAGGATACAAATTATGTGTATGTGTAAAATCCACACGGCATTTTTTTGCTTTGTGGTCTCATGATTTTTTCATCTGTTTTCAGTTGACGAGCGCAGGCATTTATTCTTCCCCCATCTACGTTCGTTTGATGTTCATATTGCCAACTTTAATGCACCAAGAATTCGTAAACCTTTGCCGTATTTATTTGTTGCGCTTCAATTTCGAATCTTTCGAGCTTGATATCGATTCTTTTGGAATCAAAACGATTTTACCATTCAGTATCGTTCTTTTGACAATTGAATTGATGTTACTGAACTCGGTATTGATTCTTGCGACCGTAATATTTGATTTTGTTCATGTTATCGATTATTCTGGGTTTGACATGGATGAGTTTTACCTTGGTGTTGATTCTTTTACCTTGATATCAACCTTTTGACCTTTTGGTATCGATTCTTTTTACCTCTGTAAAGATTCCTTTTGGTACTGCTTCTTTTGACTTGGTATCTTGTAATTTACAATTATATCGATTTCTTTTAACCTTTGCACTGATCTTTTTTAACCTTGGAATCATCCATTTGACCTTGATATCGATTCTTTTTGACAAGGTTTGTAGGCCTCGATATTTTGACCTCAGTATCGATTCTTTTTGACCCGTGCCAGGCTTCATTGGTAACCTGATCGTGGTCTACACCATCTTCTTCAAGAAGGGCCCGCAGAGCGTCACCTCCATGCTGCTGTGCAGCCTGGCCATCTCGGACCTCATCGTGGTCACCATCTACCTGCCCTTCAAGCTGGCCGATCTGGTGACCGTCTCCTGGGTCTTGGGCCCCGTACCTTGCAAGCTCGTCGGTTATCTGAACCTGGTGTCACCGGCCTGCTCGGCCTGTATGCTGATGGTCATTGGCTTAGAACGGTTAGTGCTTCCACAATCAACATGATGATCTTGGTTCTTGATTCTTTGGTTGGTTCATCTCATTAACACTCCGCGTGGAAGTTTTAAAAGGAGACCAGAAACACCGGGGCAAACCCCTTCTCTTAGCGATAAGTGTCACTGGGTTCTTTTACGTGCAGTGCATAACACAACACACGGGACCTACAGCTTAAAGAGAATATACATCATTTGCTTTTGCTGTAATTTTCAGAAATGGATGGAATTGGGGGGTTGGAAATATATAGCAAATATAGTTACACTGACTTTTTGAGGTTTTGGGTTCGAAAATGCTATACAAACCAAGAAAAACAATCATTTTCCTGTAGTCTGGTTCCCTGACTCCATATCAGAAGAAACAGAGCAGTTTACATACATTGGGGAATTGTAAGGTCAGGGAACCAGTCTAGCTGGCTTGTACCCGTTCATAGGTGTGTAATCGATTGCAAACAAGTGCGATGGTCAATTGGGGCCAGTATTTGAAAAAAAAGCCAGTTTTTTCCAACGCTGGTCGGCCGACCAGCGTTGGAAATTGATACAAAAATACCACTTTTCTTGAAAATGACAGTATACCAGGTGCCATGATTTTACAGGTGGCTTTACACTGTCATTCACTAACAGTCCAGCAAGGTATTTCAAAATGATTTGGTACTTTTATTTTTTGATGTTTGCAAATGTTGTATTTTCCCTTTAATTTCCTTATTGTAAGAGCCAAATTTAATTATTCATCCTCCAATTTCCTTTATTTTTTAACAATTAAAAAGCCTAATACATGTTTACTACTTTCCTTGTTTGCGAGAGGGTAAGCAGAGGTCAGTACAATCTTTTGAAGAAATCAAGTTGTGTGTACATTGTGCAGTGTATTGGTTAAACTAAACAGACCAACTTTTGTTTTGTTCTTACTAGTTTTGTTCTACCAGTCTTGTTTTAAGTCATTCTTAAACTGACGGGATATTCAATAAAACAGTTAATTTTCGAGAATATTGTAAAATTTGCTACTTATTTTGGAGGACATTGTAGAAGTTGCTCAGAATTTAACAATTCCTTTGAATTTCTTTATACTTGGGGGATTTCCTCAAAATTACCTTTCATTTCCTTAGAAGTTCCTTCGAAAGTAAAAAATTTCATTAAAAAAAAGGAAATAATTGTAATTTCGGTAGCAGTCATGTCTGCGGGACCTAGATTTCAACGACTGATAATTATGGTGAAACGCCAATATTGCCCAACGCCTCGTGTTTCAACGAAGTTGCGGTTACAGTTCTAATACCGCAGGCAAAATTCATTTATCTGTCTCACTTCTTTCTTTTTTTCGGTTTCTTTTTTATTTTTATCTGTGACAGGTTCATCGTGATTTTGTTTCCCTTGAGGGCGCGCTCTCTCATCACCAGGCTCAAGGCAAAGTTTATCGTGGCCGGCACGTGGATTATAAGTTTCATTCTTGCCATTCCCGGCCTGTTACTTCAGGTAAATCAGATAGAATTCGGATTTGTTTTTTATTCTGGACATTTTTCTTTTGATAACTTCATATCTGATCGTGAGCTACATGCTTATGTAATTTCACAAAAAGAATGAATCTCTGCATGATGTTTTAATCAATTCTATTTTTTTTTCACAACTCCGATATGCGAAAGGATTTTGATTTTTCTTATGTTACTATGGCCAAAGTAAAGGATCGCTGGTTTATTTGTTTCTAATAATTAGGCTTTGTTCAAGAAATGGGAATTATGTTTTAAATGAAGCTTTTATAGGATGAAGACAGACCAGTGTCGTTAAGACTTTGTAAAATGCGTTCATTTCATCACTGATTGTTTATGAAAACACAATAAGTTGTTTTCGAAATCTTTGGTTTGACCCGGAAGACGTATTTTCGAAATTTGCTAAGTGGAAAACCTGCAAAAGTTATATTTTCAAAATACCATGGTAACGACTTCTTTTATCAACGGAGATTTTCCGACGCTACAGACTGTTAACAACCAGAGAATCGGTACCATTTTGCTGTCTTGACTCGGGACAACCCGACACAAATCGGCGTGCGTGCCTTGTTGAAGAAAGACCATCGTACTTTCTTATTTCTTGAGAATAGGGATATTTTTTTTTTGGAACAGAGATCCAAATATCTGCAATCTATACCCACTAACGTATACGTGTTTTGCTGTTTGAGGTTCACTTTCATCAACCCCTATGGTACATTGTGGCGGTTTTGATTTTTTGAAAAACTGACAGGATTTGATGACTGCTTTTTGATCAGGGTGTGATCAAAGTTAAGTAACTCAAGAATCCGAAGACAAATATGTGAAACGCTCACCTTTCACTCTACTTTAGAAGAGTAATCGAATAGTTGGGGAAAGAATAGTCTAGGGGATAGATAGGTGGAGATTGGATCCCGGTTTCGAGTTTGTCTTTTCAGGCTTGTTTTCCTTCTTTTTTTTTTGAAATCGAAACCCGGTGCGATCCGCAAAATGCTTCCCGGGCATGAATGTCGCTTGTTTCCGCTAGGTATTGTTTATCTGGAATCGGGACCGTTATTAAAAACCACCCCGATCGAGGAACTGTGGCACTTCTGGCGAGCACAACGGGACAATTTCTAAGAGAAAGAGAGAAAAAGGAGATGGGCCTTGTGAATTTTGTGCATGGCATGCGCGCTGGTGGAACTTTGGGCGAGGAGGCGGGAACACCCGATACGCCCTCACCGCTCGGCAGTTTGCTCAATGATCCGGCTGCTTCTTTATCCCCGATTTAGTTCAGAAGTTCCCCAGGAACAATTGCCATTGATTTTAGGAGGGAAACCCTATCCTTGTTTTCTGTTCACGCTGAACTGTGTCACCTCGGGCAAGAATTTTTAAAAAAAGAGTTTGGCGGGCTGAAAACAAATACGGTGCAAGAGTTGGCAGTTGTGCAACTCCTAGTGAATTATTACGAATATGGTGACATTTAGGGCGCTTACAAAACCTGATGTTTTTGCATAAATATACTCTACATTTGCCCAAAATGGCTGATCTGGATTTTGTTATAAAATTGAACAATTCTAATCAACGGGAAATGCAAATTTGATCGTTAAGTTTCCTTTCTGCATGGGTGGCATGGGTGGCTATAGTGCGTAAGGCACTCGCCTCTCGCCACTGTGAGCCTGGTTCGATTCCCGGCTAGGACCATTACGTAGAGTTATTCGTTGGTTCTCTCCTGTGCCACGAGGGTTTTCCCCGGGCCCTCCGGTTTTCCTCCCTCCGGAAAAATCAAATACGTTCGATCTCAGGCTGTGCTCCGTCGCCATATCGATGTGGCCGGCTGCAAAAGGTGCCTTTACATGCCTTCGGCTCGACCACGCTGTAGCCGCGTCCTTCTAGCTGCGAGCAAGGATGATTAGCCTTCCAAAATATTATTATTGTTATTATCATTGAAGTAAATTGATACGTTCTGTCCATTGCATTGGTGAATCCACAGCGTACTTACAGCAATAAGTATTGACCAATCCGGGCACGCTATATCACTGTCAATAATAACTGAGGCCCCCTTCAATGGCGAAAGCATTGTGCTAGCTATTGTACAAATTAACTGCTGGGTTATCTTACCAATAGCTGGCACAATGCTTTCGCCATTGATGGGGGACATGAAGAGTACAAAACGTATTCAGTGTTACTCTTCTGGTTTAAATATGATTTAAATATTAAATTGTGGTTCAATATGATGTACAACACTCCTTTTTGTTTTCTTTGTTTTCTTCTGTACTACTCCAGCACCATGCCCTGAGTCCAATTACGGGTGAAGTTATCTGCTACAAAGAGTACCAGGACATAGAGGCGCTGCAGAAGGGCTTTCCGATGTACTGCCTGCTGGTTTTCTACATCATTCCCTTGTTCGTCATGGGCTTCGCCTACACCACGGTGTGTCTGCGGCTGTACGCCAGCGCCAAGACCTCGCGGGGCCTGCAGAGCATGAAGGCCGGCGGGTCGTCGACTGCGAGTAAGCCGCTCCGGACGACAGCCAACAACAACGCCAACGGATTCAGCGCTACGACCAACCCGAACCTCGTCCCGTCCTCGGTGGACGATGACCCGTTCTCGGGCGGCTCGGAGACACGGGCGACGACAACAGGCGGGACAAGTCAAGTGAGAAAACCTCGACGGCAGCGGAGACCAGTCTCTCTTAAAGACCGACAACAGGTACGTTAGTCACTCCGGATTAAACTAAGACACCTGTTTGCCGACGTAATTCAAAGAATGGATATTGAAACATCAATCTGGATCGGTGCCAACTTCCTTGGGATGATTGCATTCCTCTCCGGCTTTGCTTATCCTGTTTCATATTCACAAAAGAAGTTAATGCTGTGGTTCGCCCTTACCTAGACTTGCAACCAAATAATAACAAGTTTGGCAATTCCAGAAAGAGTTTAAATTTGCAACATCCGGCTTTAAAAAGGGCATAGCATTCTTCGAATCGAGAAACATTCGCGATGAAAGATGTTCAACTATTAAGTTAAACAATAGTTGGAGCGCGAAAACCTTGACAATGGCATACTGGTCATTATATTAACACCACCATTGATTTTATTTTTTCGACAGGTTATACTGATGCTGATATTAGTAGTGGTCCTATACGCTGTTACGTGGGGCCCCATGTTGATGATCATGGTCCTCTTTGCCTTCGAAGCCCTCAACTCGCTGTGTATGAACGTTATCTTCCAACTGTCTGCTGCCACCCACGTGCTAACCTTCCTCAATAGCGCCATCAACCCCGTGGTCTACAGCTTCATGTCTCGTAACTTTCGCCAGAACGTGATGGAGGCCCTACGGGACACCGTCCGGTGCTGCACCCGGGGCGGGCGGCGGCAGAAGTACGGTGGCGGGCGTGGGGAGTCGGCGTACCAAAGCTCCCGCTACAGCACCACTATGGTCACTCAGGCCAGCTCGGTCCGGAGGGGGCGATCAACCAGCGACGGAAACTGCTCGCCTAGCAGGGGTCAAAACATCGAACTGACCCAGTATACCAGACTACCCAACACCGAAACAACAGCTTGATCGTTAACATTTGAGCCCCTATAGCCATCCTGAACCAAAAAGCCAGCTGATTTGCAACGCAAAAGTCTTAAGTGCAGAGCTGTCAGTAAACAGACACGACGATAAAATGGCAGGTTGGACAAAGGAAAGGCTGGAAATAGGAGGAAAAGAAGGCAACACCCATGGCAAAAGTCAAAACCCGAGGACTCACCAGCGACTGTCAGACGGTTGGATCTGTCCGTAAACAGCACCGATAACAAGCTGTTTGACACTGTGGATACAGACACTCGTTTTGTAATCGAACAGCAGCGTGGGGCCAAGGGAGTCAAGTATTTGACGCGCAGGACGCAGCACAGGAGGTGTTATTCATTTGCGTCTGTACCGTAATCCCGAGCGAGGTTGCTGGCAACCAAACTGTGAACAAATTTTAGAGGGTTGCGCTACAAGTCTCTTCGTACAGAGAACAGACGAGCAAGTGAGACAAATTCACGGCCGTTGAAATGAGTCGTCGAAGCAAGTTGGTGAAGATGAACCAGTATTAACTTTCAAACTTATAAGCCCTAAAGATATAGGGGATGACACTTATTTTCTGCAAAGCACAATTTGTCTGTAGGGCCTACAGCCATGATTTTGTTTTAGGTGATTTCACTGAACTTTTTTTCTCAAAGGATGTTGGTTGGTGTGTCCGCCTGTGTCTGGAAAGGATGATTTTGTTTATTAAGGGAAAGAGGGGACAGAAGTGGTAAGAACTTCACCTAGTTTAGGGTAACCATTTCAGAATTCCTCCCGTCAGTCAGTGGCAAAGAGGGCGTGGTTTCTGTGAATGGTCGAGCCGAAAGCATTTACTGATTCTAGTGGACAGGTGTACGACTCGGTTGAAAAGAAATTTCGGGTCATTGCATTTTTTTAATTAAAATTTACCTCAGTGTTAATTTTAACACAACCGCTTTTTCGAAAGGTTTTTTCAATTCTGTTCAGTGATGTGCGTCTCCGGCCGAAGGCGTTTGTTGTGGCGGGCTTTTTGGGACGCTTGGTGGCAGCAAATACGACGGTCCTTTTCTATTGTTGACGCCATTTTGAACATGCGCACATTAGTTTAAACATGACGCAAACATTTGTGTTTGCTGCCACCAAGCGTTGTGTTTGCTGCCACCAAGCGTCTCAAAAGTCCTCCATTTCCGATTGTCGGTCGGTGCATGCGCACTATTCTCAAATCCGACGTCATTTTGTTTATTTCATTTAACAGCAGACTTTTTTATTGTTTACATTTCGATTTGCCAACCTTTTGCGTGAAGTGTCTCGGAGAGTTTTGTTTTATTTATCTAAACCTTGTGTATTTTACTTTCTGTTTATTTAGATTTCTGTTGCTTATATGGCTGGACAGAACAAATCGTCTTATATAGGCCCAACGTGAATGCGTCAGTGTGTTGTATGAAGAAGAGAGGGTGCTAAACAAATTTCACGAGTGGTGTCATAAGTGCGTGTATTAGCCTAGTTGAGATATGGCGGACACAAAAGGAGTGCGCTATTTGGTATGGGTAAATACAAAACAGTTTTCCCAAATCAAACAGCGCCCTCGTATTTTGTTCGCCATATCTCAAAGAGGCCAATAGGACTGGGCGTGCGCATGCAGTTAGAGATTTTGTGGACTTTTAAAGTGTGCGGATCTGTACTGCTGTGTTGGATGCTCTCTGCTTACAATGATGTGACTGTTGGTTTGGTGCTTGATGTTTGAGTTTTGGTGCGTTGATGGTTTGATCTTATTTCATTTGCAGTTTTTTTTTCTCCTTTTTAAAGGTCGATTACATCATTTGTAATTTGTGCATTTTTATTTCGTTTGAATCAACAAAAGTTCTAAAAAAATCTAAAGACGGGTGCTTAACAACTAGCCTGATGAAGTTTTAGCGCTGTGAAGGCTGTATATTCCGAGAAAACAATATTCTAGGATCTTGATTTCAAATCGAAATGTGCCGAGTCATGTTTTGAATTGCGCCCGAATACAGCATCTGGGACACGTTCTCATTAAGCCGATTGCAGCTACGCGATGTCGCGCCCTGAACCGACGAATTATAGCAACCGCTCGCACGTGTATGCCGTGTCAACGCTTGTGCGCGCTTCGCCGCGTTAAAAACGAACTGAGACGAATCGTTGGAAATGTCCTTTTATTGTTTCTTCAAAATGACAGCATGCCAGAAAGAATAATTTTACAGGGAGTTTAGTGCCATTGCTATCTATAAACCAAGTATGCTTTTCAACAATAAGTTCGCCAGTTGTTTTTGGATAGCTGCAAATGATGGACTGTACTGGACAATTCTATTTTGGAGTGATTTTCCGATTTTTTGGGAGGAAGTGCACAATGAACCCTATTAAAATTGGACCAAAAATCCAAAAAAAAAAATTTGATGAAAACTTGTAGTTGCGTATGTGAGTTGAGGTAATTATGATTTATTCGAATTTATCAACTTAAAAGAAATTCGTAAACGTTAACATGGGATTTTACGAGATTTGTTCAAGACTGCGCCACGTTAGGGAACACTCGGCCGAATTCGTGCCCAATTCCGAACGCCACCGTTTTTGAATTTCAGACTTAATTTCATGACAGTAAATGCTAACAAAGCTTCAACACCAAGAATTATTCAGTCAATAGTAACAGTATTTCACTGAATGAAGTTTCTCAACAAAGAGGTTTGGCAACACTGCATGAGGAAAGTCGGGGGAAACGTCGAAGTGCGCCACGTTAGGGAACACTACTATTTATCTCAGATTTTGCGCGTTCCGCGTCCATTTGTATATCATGTAATTGGATAATATTTCACAAGCTACGTTGACGCGATTCTACCGCGATAGGTCAATAATCAGTTCAGTCGGTAAATTTTCGACTTGACTAAGCCCTGCATCAGCATTATTTGAGGCAAATAAGACCTTGGTATTAAGCATCGTTGGACAAACCAAAGCGATGTCCCGTCAAGAGCTAAGGTAATTCTGTGAGGAAAAGCGTGAATTTATTGATGGCTGTGTGAAAGAAAAGAGAAAATCGTAGAATTCATGATGAGAAAATGGAAATCGAAGCTCCAGATCGAGGGTGGTAACTGTATGTTTGTGTTCAAAACTTCAATCAAAATCTCAGCATCAAGTCAAACCGAAATCTAGCAATTTGTGTCGCTGGAAAGCACGTCAGGTGGGCTACCTTTTGATATCAGCTTGCATTTTGTGAACAGGTACTGTTTTGAAAAAAAAATATGCTTCATTTTTTAATAAGTGTATACAATTAATTACACTTCAGTGCATCATTGTCAGCGTTTTAAATTGTGTAAATAATGCTATCACGTGATGTTCACTGCGAATGTTCAGAGTTGTAACATTAATTAAAATTTTAAAACAACTAAAGAGATGATATAATAATGTCAACATATTTACTACCGGTACAACCTATAGCAAACTATGAAACGTGTAAATTAGATGGAATTTATTGTATATAATCATGTGAATGAAAAGTGCGCATTGTTGATAAATGCAAAGTGATTCTGAAACGTGCAATAGAATCTTTCTGTTGTTAAAGAAGATTATACAAATCAAATATAACATGAATAAACTCAGAGGCATTCTGTTTACGATGTGCATATATCTGCACGAATGTCTTATCAATAAAAGAATAGATTATATAATATATTAAGAGTGTTGCCATTTTTAAGGTAGTATATATTTCTTATAGTACGACGTCCGAAACTTGTGTGTTTATATGCATGTTGCAAACATGTTGCTCAATTACTTAAGTTGTTGCAACGATAATGTTTCACTTAGACTCTCCACCGGTCACATAAAGAAATATACAAGAACTTTTTCAATAAAGAAAGTCTACTCGACATTGTACAGAGCCAAGCAAGGCATTATTTTATAGACTGTGCAATACCTTTCGAATTATTTGAGGAAAAAAAATCACCTTTTCAAAAAGCCATGTCGGTGTTCCAACTGCACGTGCAAGCATGCGCACATCAAACCTTTTTACACGTTTAAGCTTATGTGCGCATGTCCAAAATCATGACGCAACAATAGAAAAGGACCGGTGTGTTTGCTACCACCAAGAGTCTCAAAAGTCTCACAATTCAGAAAAGAAAAAAAAATATTCTTGTGCTATTAGGCTAAGTACATTATTCCAAACGTTTTGGACTGCAAGAAATGGTTTACAATATTGTTTAGTGTTCCAAGCAGTGTGCGCTATCTTGAGTACTCATTTCGTTTTGACCGCACGCAAACTGCAAATTTTGATAATAGATAATTATGAGTAAAGGCGGAGCTGAAGGGCAGTGGTTTTATATCGCTGGGATAGTAGTAAGTAGTAAAGTTTGTCAGTAGCCAATGTGACCCATCAGGCCGGCGTTTATCTCCGGTTTCAGTAGCATGAAACGACGGAGAATATTTCTACTCCCCGGCCCTGGATGGGATGCTAGTCAATCACAGGTTACTCCCAGCTAATGCCGGTACCCATTTATACTCCTGGGTGGAGAGAGGCAAGTGGGGGTGAAGTGGCTTGCCCAAGGACACAACATTATGACCAGCAGCTGGATTCGAACCCCTGACCTTTTGATCATGAGTCACGACCCGTCACCATCAGGCCACACTCCCCACACTCACTGGGATTGGCATGAGTAATCTTTTCGGCATTCATTGTTACAGTTTATAAAATTAAGTTAACCAATAACATCTGAGTTATCTACGACGCATAATATCTATTATTATAACACCTCGCCCACAGATTCTGTATCTTGATTGGCCGAGAGCGAGTCACATGGCATTCGCTACTTTGCTATCTTTCTGTGCATGGCCAAAAGTACTATACCCGTAGCAACCAAAGTACTATACCCGTAGCAACCAAAGTACTATTCGCATAAGAATCGGTATTGTGTGCAATTAATGCATAGGCCTATTATACGGGTGTGCGCGTAGCGCGTATTGTTCCCAAGCCTAGCGCTACAAAGCTGGGTCCAAACATTTCTTGACAGGGTAGTTTAGAAAAGTGCAAGTAAATTTTCAAATTATTTCGTATTCGAACTGAAGTACATTTTAATTGTATTTAGATTAAATTAATCAGTTGTCGCTTAAAATCAAGCAGAATCTGTGGGAGAGGTGGTATAAAACAAATATTGACTGCTTTATCCTTATATCTCGTGGTGTAGTAAACTAGCCTCCCTCGGTGATCCATGGAGCATTATATTCGCCTCGAGACAAAATATTAGAAGGCTTAATGGATCACCTCGGGGGAGGGGCCTAGTTTTACTACACCACTCGAGGCAGTCAATATCTGTATACTATTGTCGCCATGGACTTGTTAACATTATCTACTGCGTTTATCCCGATGCACCACGTTGTCGAATCATGATGTCTACGTTCGCCTTTCCACAATTGAACTGGCTAAATATTCGGTTTTACTTTATAATACAGAATTCACAACCAGAAGGCTCACATGTCGCTGCTGTAGCCCCGTAGTTCAGGTGGTACCTCAAAAAAATGGCCACGTGCAGTGAATATTGGCGCCTTAACTTCCACAAGTGGAAGTTAAAATTACGATCAGGAAGAACAATTTCAAAGCTTGGGGCATACCAATTTACGTAAAAGCGATTATAGAAATGGATGTTTCGGCATGAGGAGCTACGTTATTATTATAGCTACATTATTATTATAACTGCAATGTATTATATTATATTGGATGTTATTTGAACAGGTGATCATGCCTTGTATATTGAATAAAATCTCTATTTAACGACAGAATCAGTGGTCTATTTCTGTCTTGATTATTGGTGTTTTATTGTTTTGAATTCAATCGAGATTGAACCAGAGTTGTATTGAGCAAGGACATATCGGGAAGAGTTTCGGCCCCACCCCAGTTTTCCCCAATCAGTCTGTCTATATCATGAAATCCTCTAGTCGTCATCATATCCACACAAAGATTGTCAATGGGTTGAATACAGATACGAAGAGCACCCCAATAACGGACTGTTTAAAACCAGTATGCCACATCCACAACCACAACCTTCTATGCAGGTATAAGCGTCCTCTTCTAGGACGCCGATTAGTTGCATACATTTTCACCTCGACTGCCAACTTTTCCCAAAAAAAT